ATCTAGACCACTGTGGACATTTTCTCTGGAATTACACTTGACGCGATATTTTTATTGTTATTACGTTATAAATGTGTTTGAGCAGGTTAATTATGAATTGTAGTGTTTGATCCAGTTTTTTTTTCTGCTTCTACGTCTGATATCAGATGCCCAAATTTAGAAATTTTGAATGTGTGTATATGTGGAAAACAAAACTCTAAAAACCCTCTTCCTGCTGTTTTGATTGTGATTTATTGCTGCTAAAACTTCCGCATGCCACCATCGTCTTGAGATGAAACATCAGGCTGAAAAAACAGATAAAACCAAAACTACCTGTGTAGCAAGATTCCAGATGAGTGAGTGAGGAATTCATTTTTCTGAACTTTGCTCCTATTGTTTATTCATAACTGTTGTTTAAAAAAAAAAAAAAAAAAAAAGAGGTTTGATTTCAAGTAAATGCACCTAAATTGTAAACGGAGAAGCTGACCTCCCTGTAAGGTTGCAGCTGGATGTAGTGGGCTGCACATTAGATGAGGGGGTGCGCTGAGATAAAGCAGATGAGAAGGATGTCAGATGTTTTAGCGTGTCTGAAAGCTTGTAATCTGTCATCAGGTCAAACAGCATTACACACACACACACACACACACACACACACACACACACACACACGCACGCATGTGGCCACACGACACCAGCATTTCCTCCATCCTCCACAACCTGAGTCCTTTTAACTCGGCTCAGATGAAATTAAAATTTCCCTCAACTGCCACAGGGGTGGGGACGAGCAATGCTAGCTTTTGAACTGCATTAATTTAATGGTGAAGTGTTAATCAAGTGTGTGTGTGTGTGTGCGTGTGTGTGTGGATGGTCAGAGAATCAGTCATTAATTGCCATCAGCAAATAGCACCTTCCACTCTGATGATAACAGCTGTAATAACACACAGGCCACATCTCTCTGATTCGTCCTAAATAAAGATAATGAAAACGCTTTGATGCAGCCACGGCGGCGTCGGCTCACATTTACACATGCAGGCTTGTTTGTGTCTTTTTATTTTGCTTCCTTCCTCCTTCTGTGGTGCTGATGTGTGATCATGAAAGGATAGACACATCCGAACTCTATCGCAGACTGTCTTGAAGCCACAAAGTGCTAAAGCCTCCAAAGGTGTGTGTGCGTGTGTGCGCGTGTGTCTGTGTCTGTGTGTGTGTGTTAAATTAAACCAGAACATATCTCTTCTCGCTGTCTCTCTAGGCGGTGGGCTACAAGTTGGCGGTGTTGCCGGTTGCCGGGGCGCTGCTGGGCGGCGTACTGGGAGGCCCGCTCGGCCTGCTGGCTGGGTTCAAAGCTGCAGGGGTGGCTGCCGCTGTGGGAGGGGGCGCCCTGGGGTTCGCGGGCGGCAACTTGGTCCAGAAACACCGCCGAGCCCAAGTGGATCTACAGATGAAACGACTGACAGCACCACCGCCACCAGACGAACCAGAGCCAAGCAAAGACAAATGACCCACCGGGCCCAGTTCAGCCCGGCCGCCGGTTAATCACGAAGGCTCCTGAAAGCAACTGACGGACTCAGACGTCGCTAAGCACTGCTGTTACCAAGCACTGTGTCCAACAAGTATGTAATAACAGCCTTACTCGAGAGTCACATACGCTGACGTTCCAGCGTGAATGGTGTCCCTGTGAGGACATTAATCTAATTTTCTACACACAACTTGTTTTTTTTATTCAGCCAAACAGCTATTTACACTACAGCTTTTAGTGTGGGGTTGGCCGACATGACACGGCCGTGAGCACAACTCTTTACTAAAAAGAAGTGATGGTTGAATAAATCAACCGAACAACTACGTGAGGGCACTTAGTCCATGTTCCTTAAGTTAACTTCTTCTCTAATATTCAGGTTTACCAGCTGTCACGCCTCAATATTCCTTTATGCAGAAAATAATGTGAAGCCTGTTGTAAAACAAGTGTCGCAATATTTATATAAAGTATGTGGGACAGTATACAACGGTGCAATATGACTTAAATGTCACACTAGTCTAAACTGTGTCACCTGACAGCAACTGATCAAGTTGAACAATCAGGTATTTATGTAAAATAAAAACTAAGACTTTAGATTTACTGTGTTTAAAATACGAGCTCTACCATAGCAACTTAGTTATGCTGGAATATTCTAGACTGGGGGCTGCAAGGTGGCTTGGTAGTTAGCACTGTCGCCTCGCAGCTAGAAGGTCGCCGGTTCACGTGGAGTTTGCATGTTCTCTCCATGCAGCGTGGGTTCTCTCCGGGTTCTCCGGCTTCCTCCCACAAGGTCCAAAAACATGTTGAGGTTAATTGGTGATTTTAAATTGTCCGTAGGTGTGAATGTGAGTGTGCTTGGTTGTCTGTCTCTAAGTGTAGCCCTGTGATAGACTGGTGACCTGTCCAGGGTGTCCCCTGCCTTCACCATAAGTCGGCTGGGATAGACTCCAACCGCCCGCAACCCTAGTGAGGATTAAGCGGTGTATAGATAATGGATGGATGGAAAATACGAGCTCTACCATAGGAACTTAATTATGCTGGATATTCTAGACTGGGAGTCATCTAGTCAGACAGTATTCTGGTTTATCCTCAGACATTCATCCATAAATGTCATCAACACCTTTTGCACTCGTGCAGCCCCATATCATGATACTGCCACCTCCGTGCTTCACTGTCAGGACGATGCATCCACTGTGGTGGTCCTGGTCAGGTTCACACCAAACATCTGGACTCCATCTGAGCCCAACACGTTTATCTTCATCTGACCAAAGAATGTTCTCCAACATTCATCAGGCGTCTTTTAATGTTTTTTAGTAAAGTCCAATCTGACAGTTTTGTGTTGAAGAGCAAGCAAAGGATTTTTCACGGACACTGTTCGTACAGGTTGAAGTCATAAAGTGTCCTTCACACCGTCTAAGCTGTCAATGAAACTGATTTCCACTGATAACCTCTGAGTCTAGTCTGAAGCAGCCGTCGTCTGTTTTTCACAGCTGGATTGTGAAAGTAGTTCACTGTCTGTGGAGTCATTGTAGGAGGACGACCACTGCAGCCCTGATTAGTGCTACTATGGCTCCTTGTCGAACTCCTGATTACTGCTGCAGCTGTGTTTCACTTCTTTTTTTTTCAGTTGCTCAGTGATCTTCCTGTATTGTTTTTCTTTCTTTCTTTTTTTTAAGTTCATCTGTTCAGCTCTGTTCTATGTGGAGCCATGATGCAGACATGCAGACAGAAACAGCTCATAGTTCCACAACTGAGAAGGTTCTGGTGTTCACAGCTCACGTTAGAACCATGTTCATGCGGTTAGGCTCATTTAACATCACAGGTGTTTCCACTTTGGTGCCTGTGGTTTCAATATAGTCTATTAGGTGTTAAGTGTTTGTTTTTGTACATAAGAGAAACAACTCTTCAGATTAACTCTGAGGTAATGACGAGTTTGAGAGGTGAGAGTTTTGAATCACTTGACATTTAGGTGGTATTGCACAGGGGTGTACTCATGTCTGCTGTATACTGTAAGTTATGTTGTGAATTAATGCAGCAAAATTGCACAAAAAAAGAGCCAAAGTGCCACTTTCCAGATCACTTCGGGGACTGGAGAACAGAAACCTGCCGTGTATGGATTATTACACTGCTGTTGCCAAATAAAACGTCTCTTTTCCAACCGTGTTGTCAATCATTGGACAAACCGACGTTGAAAGCATCAGACGGCACAACGACATCCTGTAAAATGGTTTTTAATTTACTTTTTCAACTCTTCTTCCCGTCTGAGATGACTGATTTAGAAATGGCATCACACTCACTCCCCCCCTCCCGTAGCTCTGTATGTGGGCTGATATGTCACTATGCAGGTATCTGTTGGCCTCTATGGAAGGGCAGGACGCACAGTACAAACTTAGCAATGGGTCCCCAAAACTCGTAGTCCACTTTTTGGATTCTCAGGGGTCTAGACTTGTACCAAAACCTCAAAGACATATAAAGAGACAAGAGAACAACGCGTATAAAGTGGCAGACTGAATTTCCACCGTTCCGTCGCTTGGGTTTTCCCCCTCTCTTGTCTTTCGGCCTTTTTGTAAGACACCGGGACAGTCTCTTCCTCTTCTTCCCCCAGCGTGATGACACATTTAACGACAGGTAACAGCAAAAACAATTTCATTTTAAAGTACAACCATTTTCCAAACAGGAGAACAACTCAGGGGGCGTTTATGGAAAATATCCTGCCCATTAAAGTACCCAGCCCTTCTGACCGTTTAATATTTTACCATTTTACAGATGTGGATTTAATTAGACTTTAAGACACTTATCAACAGAGCAGGAGACCGATTTTGGGGGAGAAAATTTCTGATTGCATCCATCAGCTACATCCACTTTTTGTTCATATGCTTTAGAGGGTCTAACATAAAACAAGGATCAATTGCAGTGTTCATAAATACACTTCTTATTTGGCAGCAATTTCAGCCTCAAGCTTAAAAGGATAGGTTTCAAACAGTTGTAGACATCACAATCCCATTTTCTAGTCATGTAAGCAAATTCTGTCTGAACCCTCCTTTGATTTTAACTAATATCGTCCTTGTGTATTTGATCCTGCTGCATGCATTCGACCCTCTCCGCCATCACAAGACGTCCAGGGCGTGCTGCAGCGAAGCCTCCACACGGCATGATGCTGCTGCCACCACCAGGCTTCTCAGGTTTTTTTGGGGGGGTGTATTTATGTAGTACGAAAGCCAAAAAGCTCTCTTATTTGAATTATTTTCTGCTGACTGGTGACCAAACAAACAAAAAAAAAAAAATTGCATCCACTGTGGCACAATATTGTAAAAAAGTAAAACATGAAAAGATCCCAGGAATAGTTAATTTTTTTTTTCTTTTTTTTATAAGCACTGTAAGAGACATCATAATCTATAACCGCGGAGAAAAGGGGCGCATCTCAATCAGCTGGAGTAGCTCAGTCTCTTTATCTTCCGTGTCTGATTTGAAATCGAGTTGTTCTCTATTCCTTCTGTGTGTGCGGAGAAGATACGGAGATAAAGCTACTTCAAAAACAGGCATATTGTTATAACTTGTGCTATACAAAATGAATCAAACTAGAGTTGGTCGTATTGAGATGCAGCCATGAGGTCAGTGAGACTAAACAAGCATCTCCTATCAGACAGGCTGAACTACCCACAGATAAGAACCGTACAACTGGAGTGAGGGAACTGTTGGTTTGCTGCTGCTTCTTCTTGTTTTTTTTCTTTCTACAAAAAGCAGGGTGATGAAAAAGAAAAAAAAAAAAAGGAATAAAATAAAGAAAAACTCTGCATTTAATTTAGACTGACATTGAGATTCCAATGTAGCACAAACATATTTACAACCTCCGAAAAATAAAAGTAAGAACTCTCGTTGTCCTAATGCCCCTAACCCCTCTGCCCACACACATTTTTCTTCTTTATCCCCCCTTCCTTTTTTTTTTTTTTAAATTCAAAATAAAAATTGTACGTGAAAGAGTTATGAAAATATAGGTTATTCCAACATGGTGTGTCATGGACTGCGCTCTCCTCCTCCTGTTCTTCTTCGCTCCCCTTCGTTCTCCTCTTCATCTCGTTCTCCGGTAAGGGTGTTGGGTGTTTGCTGTTCTGTCCCGCCGGCCTGTCCCAACCCTAACCCCCCCCTCCCTGACCCCGGGGCGTGGCATTGAGTCACAGGATCACTGGAAGGCTGGTTAAGGTCACAGCTCGTCACGGTCCCGTCTGAGGATGGTGTAGCGAGTCTCGCTGGGCGCCAGCTTCTGGAATGAGCTCTCCGGAGGGCTGCTGGCCATCTCTCCGCCCGTCTCCTCCTGACAAAAATTCAAAACAAACGTTCGAATTTCACATGACACGACAGAAACAGCTCTCAGCGGCGCCTCGATTCCACACACCTCCGCGCACGACTTAACTGGAAGTCCACTTATTCAAAAGTTTCCCTTGAGGACATTGAAAATGTTTAACTTTTGTGACTGGTTAGTGTGCCAGGAAGTTGAAAAACTTAATTAGCTAACAGGCTATTCAGCAGTTTTTTGACAGTCAAATCAGGTAAATGTGTAAAGAAACTGGTTTGGCAAGTTTAACACATGCTGACTGTGCAACATACAGAGAACACACATGCTGCAGTGGTTCATTGAACATGTTTCACCATGTGTGGCAGGATAACCTTCCTGATTTCTTACCACACGAGAGTACTTCAGAAAGTTCTTTATCTCACCCAGAAACAAGGGGTGGAACTGCATATCATAAAGCCTTTCATCACTGTCCACAAAAACTCTACAGTTCGCAGCAACGACAGAAAAAAGGTGAGGAAGGCTTAGAGCTGTGAGGGACTGCGATTTGCTTGAAGAAGTTAAAGACTAAAAATAATGCAAGAACAATCTTTCTACTATTACACTGAGAACTTTATGAAGTAGACCTTGTATATTATTGGTCCTGTTTTATGTTCTAAGCACATGTTCCATTAAAGTGGATGGTAAAAACTGACCTCTGATTAGCCTCTCTTGTACGGCTGTGTCAAAGTTTCCATCCTCATGCATTGCTTTTATTAAACTATACGGGGGAACAGCTTGTACGTTACACCAACTATAAAGCAGAGCTATGTGGAAACGAGGAGCGACTCCAGGATGCGTGCCGATGCTGCTGACTGACCTGTCCAGGCGTGCTGTCCGTGGGGTCGGGGCCGTGGTGAAACTCTCGGTGGAGCTTACCGGAGTGAAGGTCCAAAACAAACTGTCTCAGTTTGCCGGGGACACTGAAGAAAAACACAAAAGAAACATCATCAGAGAAGTATTCTTAAACTACATCTCGTAATTTTTTCTGAGGTTTTGTTTGATTTCTCTGCACCTTTCGTCTTTCTGAGCGATATTTTAAGGCTGTTTCATGTCTCTTTCTTTTAAAACAAAAAAAAATTCCTTTGATTTCTTTATTCCACCCTTGTTTACCATTATTTAAGTTGTGTTGATTGTTAGAAATGAAAGTTTGGGTGCAAATTCGGGACGCTAATGTACGTCGCGACACAATAAATCCACCCATTTGGAATCAGAAAGCCTTTGTTCTCATTCTAAACTCTAAGTTCTGAGACTTTTAGGTCCACACTTTCAAGACGTTGAGCCACACTGGATGGTACACGTTCCTTTAACCCCCACAGCTATAACATCTCATGTGCTGCCTGTTTTCACATATATTTCCAGAGTTTGTCCTTTTCTTTCACACCCTGGTCACACTGATGCCTGCAACTCCATTCTATCCAGAAAACTACAGAACTCTACTATTCAGACCATCACCAGCACCAAACCCACCGACCACATCACTCCCTCCTCATTCAGACACATTAGAAAGCTCGACTCCTTCACCCTGCACACCTCTCAGACCTATTCCATCCCTACACACCCCCTCCTGTGCTTTAAAATGTTCCTCTGCTGCTCTGAAATCTGTCTCAACTTTTAGACTCAACATCGTGGCTGCCAGAGCCTTCAGCTGCTCATCTATCAGCTGTTCAAACACAGCTCACTTCGCACCTCAAAACACATTTGTTTACAACACAGACCTAATCTAACTCATCTGTTCACGTCGTATCCACTCTCAAGATTAAATAGTTGTTGTGGTGACGCTTCATGTTTTGCAAGGCGCCCATCAATACGGTTTATCCATTGCCACAAAACTGCTTTACAGAGCTGCTGGTTCTGCCTCCTTTGAAATCTCATTTACAGAAGTGCAAACTGAGAGATTTCACACGGCTGAACTTCGTTGGCACATTCCTGCGCACAAAGTCCGACAGTGACGGCAGAGCGGCTCAAACTACAGAGCAGGTCGGAATTAAGCGGTGATATGAGATAAAACAGCTCATGGCAGCAGCAGCGGAGGACGTTTGTCCCCGCGGACATGTCATCAGGCAGCATTAATCCATATCAGCGCCATCCTGTGAAGTGTTCTCACTACCGACAGGTCATGAGCTGTTGTCGCTGGTCCCCAGTCACAGTAAACCCCGCGTGTCAGAACAACACACACACACACACACACACATATATATCTATACCATACACTGTGCTAATGTAATTACAAGCTGTGTGCCACATGCGGTGGTGATGTGATGTAATTAGGTTGTGGAGGGCCAGTCAGTCCTCGGGGCTGCTGTCTATCTGATCAGACTCTGATTGGGGACGGGGGGAGGCAGAGTGGTGGGGGGCAGAATAAATAAGATTAAATTAGATTAGACTGGATTAGTTTAGCACTTATTGCACGTGCCAAATCATGTCACATTAGCTCCAGTGTCCTGGCCCATTCATAAAGGACGGATTTTAGGAGGTGTGACATTTCTCTGGTGTGGATTATCGTGCGTGAATGTGTTGTGTGCAGCAAAATTGACTTAATTTTATCAAGAGCAGATCTCATTACGGACAATTACACATGCAGGTGAATGATACATCATTTAGCTCATCAGTGTCAGGCAATAATCCCTCAAAAAATATCCAGAAGAATGTTGAATGTATCAAGCTGGACACAGGAATGATTCATTTGTAAATGATGAGAGCAATTGTGGACGGATTCATTTACATTTGTATGAAAACGCGCACAGGCCCATGCTTTTATTTCTCAAAACTTTTCAGTAACGTTTGTACGAAGATGCAGAGATTAGGATGTGATGATTTATTAGTGCTGTTTGAAATGAACACAAAGTGAAGCCTCTGGACCCCAAAACCTGCCAATGTGTGATCTTTAAAACTCAGAAACTGTAAAAACAGAGAGAATCATCGGATTTTGAACAAACAAATCACATGTGTGGGACTGTTTAGCCAGGAAAACTAAACAAATCTAAGCTGAAAATTGTGATAAATCATCAAAATGACTATATATTACATGCCTCGTTAAAAGAAAAAGGGCAAAAATAAATCATTTGCTCGAAACAGGTTGTGTAGAAAAACAAATAATTCTGGGAAGCCACGAGTGACTCTGCCACAATCAAGAGTCTTGTGAGTAAAGTTCGTGGATTTTCGGCTGAACTGCGGGCTGTGTTAACACAGAGCAGAGAGGTGGCTAATATAGAAACAACTGAACGAGACTGAGAGGGAAACAAAACCTACTTGATGAATAAAACAAACGCAGCATGGCTCAAAAATGATATACATACATTCTACATGGTGATTAATCGTTTCTAGAGCTAATGTACAGACTAGTGTGAAAAATGCAGTTTGGAGAAGTTGGAAAAATTTAAACAATTTCAGATTCTTTAGAGCCATTTTTTTTTTTCCAGTGTTGGTAACATTTGTGGGAACTTGGAAAATGTTGCACAATGCGCAAAGAAATTTAACATTTTTCATGATGTATGGCAGTACAAGAGTGTCATACTGCAACAGAACACATCTCTCTCTCCTTCTGTTCATGGTGGTGGTTCTGTTTCCATAGAGGTGCAGGACTTCATGATGCAGTGTAAAATGAACCCACAGCGATGGAAAATGTGACAAGAGTAAGAAACGCCCAGAAACTGCTTAGAGCCATAGACTGCATAAAAGATGGACGTAGCTACCGTGACGTCACCCGTTGGTTTCTGCACTGAGAAAATGAAGCCAGGGTTTTGCTACTTCCTGGTTGACATCTTGGATTTTTGGAGCCAGTGACGCAAAAATCGTCGGAGGGGGGCGGAGCCATAGGAGCAGTGATTGGTCAGACGGATTGAGAGGCGGGCCCTCTCTGCCCGCCCTTCTGCTCGCTTCCTCTGCATCGTCTGCCGACTGTCAATCAAGCCAGCCACGCCCCTTGTCGCAAAATTTTGACGATTTTTAAAAAATTCAGTATTGATTTATTTTCAGATTGGCCACCTGATCTCTGGACTTGACCATGAAAACTAATACGAAAAAAATCCTGAGCTGTAGGAATGCAGTATTTCATGATCTGTGATCACTTCTTTTCCAATTCAAGTCTATGGGAGCCAGAGCTTTTTGGAGCCTGCAACTAGCGGACGTAGTGATATTGCAGGTTTTTGACACTTCCGGGTTGGCTTCATTTTTCAGGGCCGGTTGCTACGTCCATCTTTTATACAGTCTATGTTTAGAGCTCAGAGAGTTCATCACTTATCAGGTGCTGATAATACGTGAGCGTGTGCAAAAATCAGCTACGAGAGAAAGTAAAAGTTGTTACTTACGCGAGGTCTTTGAAGTCGGGGAAGACATACATGTGTCTGAATGAGTCTATGGCGATGACGGGACAGTCAGCCGGAGTTTTCTGGATATGGAGGAGAGGATGGCGGAACTTATCACAGTCCGCGTGAAGGAAGTTTATAGAACCTGGGGAGGACACACCAGCATCACGAACACCGCCTCTATACACGTGAAAATTCACACTCAATGCCACAGATGGACACTCACCTTTCTCGCTGATGAGCTGGCGAGCTACTTCATGTTGGAACTTCTCTAAGCTATCGGTGTCTTCTTTAATGTGGAACAAAATGAGGAAAGGGATTCCTTCTTCAGTCAGCTCCTGGATAACACACAAAGCATGCGAGACAGATGGAGTCAGGGCCTTTTTGTGGATCAGCAGATGGACTACCCACAGACTCCATGACTACCCTCTGGGCTGTTTCTCAGCGTAAACATCTACATCCACATATACATATTTAAACATCTAATATTAGACCAAAACAGCTAAAAAAAAACAAAACAAAACAAACACACAAAGTAGTAGAATATTATCATCATAAAGCTTAGAATGCTCCATATACAAACCTCTCCATTTTCAAAGGTGATCTCCCTGACCAGAGGCACACACTTGTCCTGGGCCCAAGCGTACGTCAGGTCAAAGTTGGTGAGGGATCCGAGGTAGACCATGTCGGGAACGTTCTCGCCCAGAGGTTTGTAGATGATGTTGTCTCCGCTGAAGCGTTCGGACTCAGATACGGTGCTGCAAGAGGGTGAAGATCAAGAATATGAATGCAGGGAAAAGGAATAATGCTCAACATACGGGGTACTACATGAGCCCCACGTGGATCTGAAGACGGTGCTGCGTCTCACCCAAAGGCAGCCGAGAATGTGCAGTCGTCTCGAAGGATGTTGCTAACTTTTTCATAGGTGTGGTAGTTGTCGGAGTCCTTCTTTTCAAAGTAACCTATGATGTTTCTCTTGCTCCTCTGTTGAGTAAAGAAACAAACAAAAAAACGTGTTAAGAAAAGCATTAATTACACTTTTTTTATGATGTGGAAACCCATTGAAGGGTTCAAAAGGTATGGTATATAATTTTAAAAATATATTAAAATGACACCATTTATCAGAGACAGACACTGTAAAAACTGAAAAATGGTTTGGATGTTCAACTTCTAGAGAATCTCTGAGCTAACCATGTGCAACAAACGGTTTTGCTGAGAAAATTAACCAAAGCCAAACTTAAATATAATGACATCACATCAAAGCCCCTTTATTTTAAATCTCACTTAAAAATTCACCCAAAGTAAACTGTTGGTAGTAAAAAAGAAATTCTGCAATATACAAAAAAATGTAGTGCTCCTCAGCATAACGGAGAAGCAACTTAGCTGTGACAGTCACATGACAAAAATTGAGGGATTTTGTCTCATTTAAAAATTAAAAATCAACTGTTAGCACTGAACAGATTTCGTAAAATAACAAAAAAATTCAGTGCTACTTGAAGTAACTGACAAAGCGGGAAAAAACAGTGACGTGACAAAGATCCAGGTACTATTCAGCTGAACTGGGTTGAACTACAGGCTGTGCTTACACAAAGCATGTATGGAAACAAATACAAAAATGTAAATAGCTAATCATCGTTGTTTTTTTATTATTGGTAAGACCTCTGGGTAAAATAATGAAGAAATTCTACTGTTGCTTTTTTATTTTAAACACACAGAAGACGGTTTTGAGTTCTCTGCTTCTAGCCATGGTTGTTCTGTTTTTTTTTTTTTTTTAACTTTACATTGCAGTGAAAAATTAGTAAAAACATGACAGGAGCACCCAGATAGAATTTCGAGGGTTAATTGCCACTTACATCCACAGCATTAACCTCCTCTAACGAGTGCATTTCTTTCACTGGGTCAACCTGCTGCTGGCGGATAAAGTCAGCGATGGCCGCCACCGACCTCTGACCCCTGTACTCCCTCTTCATCATCATCCCGTTGCGGAAGAGCTTCAGCGTCGGGTACTTGGTGATGCGGTAGCGCTGTGCTATGTCCGCTGCACGGGAAGAGGCAGAGGAGAAGTTAAGCAAAGAAAGACGAATCAATTGATGAAGAGCAGGAGGCAGAGTAAAAACACATGGGGATGGGTGGATGAGGAGCGCGGCGGCGACAGAGACGGCGGTTAAACCTCAGTCTGAAAACACTGCCTTCAGTCAGCTCCGAGCTCTGATCTCCCACATGAAAGCAGCCCCCCCGCCAAGAGTAAATATTCTCTGTGCACACACTGAATGGGTGTGTGTGTGCATGTGTGGCAGGTGTCAATCTCCCCGCGGGGCGTCTCTAAGCCTGCAGTCTTCACAGGAAGCAGCAGTTTTGTCATTAGTCTTCAAACAGTTTGCAGGTCATCAATAATTCTCTTTAATTTGCTTTATCTCAAAAGGCTGAGGCTGGCGGTTTATGTGTCTGTGCTTTGGTGTGCCGGGCATCTATGTGTACATATGTGCATCAAATATAGGGACAGCACATGAGCGTTTTCTGTATATATAGAATGAAGGTGTTTGCAGTTTAGGGCCTTAGATCAGCACATATGCCAACTCCAACATTAATAATAATAATTTAAATGATGACTTCATCGTTACACTTTCATTTTTCAGTCTCAGCTTCAATATGGCTAGCTTATTTGTCTTTATTATAATGTATAAATCTATAAATAAATATGTTGGCTGCTGATCAAATGGTAGAGGTGCAAAAAAAAAAAAAAGTCACTAAATGATATTAGGTATGATTATTACTTGCAAGTGTACAGTTTATGTTGTTTTTTGGGGGCATTTTCTTTTTAATGTCAATATGAAAATAAAATAGTGGTACTAAATCGGTGATACTCACAATGTTGGTCGCAGTCGACGCGAGCGAACACCACCTGCTTGGTATCAGGAAACTCCTCCCTCACTATGTTAGATGCCTCCTCAAAAATAGGATGGAGCATCTGACTGAATCTGCACCTGGAGGAAGACGTGTGAGGCAGTGGATTAATCTCAGAGGGCTTTTTGTGGTTTTAAAATAAAGCACTACACTAAATTCTGCAGCACAAAAGTTATTTTGCTTAATAACACATCCATGGTCCGTCCTTTATGAAGAGCCATTTGGGCGTCAGTGAGAATAAAACATTACATAAAAGAATAAATGAATAAACTGGAATAAAATTACATTTATGGCAGCAAAATGTGATGGAAGCTCTGCATCCCTCAATTTAAACACCACTGACACAACACACAGAGGTCCAGCGACTGTGACAGAGAAACAACACACTTACCAGTCTGCGTAAAAATTCACTAATGCCACCCCAGCATTATCTGCAAGGAAGCACACACACAAACAGGACATAAATATAAGCCTCCATACGTCACCTAATAGTCTAATGAAAGTATGCTTAGCTGGTGAAATTAATTAAGGAGGCTGATTATATATAAACTCTGTCACTGAAGGAAGAAAACAAAATAAGAAGAAAGCCCTCAGAGAGCATTTTAGCAACAGACATTTGGACTGTAATTACACGTTTATACGGTGAAAAGTTCAACCAAGGTTCAGGGACTATCAGAGAGTCCTTGAAACCTGCCACACCTGCTGTATGACGTGGAACAGGAGTGTTGGCAGCGATGGGTGTGGACATTAGGATAATATGTTTGGAAGAAATCCAGGAAAAAGGAGAGCTTTATTTCAAACCACAGTTCAGGAGTTAAAAAGACGCAAAACCAAAAAAATAAAAAACAATTACAACATGCGTTCTTCCACAGCTACCTGAGATATGTTAAGCAGATCTATATACAACAACTTATTTGCTTACTTTTCTATGGTTAGATGACAAAAGACACGAGAAAACATACTGATTCTCTATTTGCAGTTTCAACCCTCTGAATCTCAAAACTCACCAGCAGGTTTAACAAGAAAGTTAGTTTAGATTAGACCATAGAACCTGTTAAAAACAGAAAGAATTGTTCGATTTCCCGCTCGTCTGTCGTACAGTTTTTTCAGTAAAATGATCAAAGTTCGTCAAAATCTTTTTATTCTTCATGCTTTGTGTTAAATGTTTGCCAGAAATAAATCGTGTGCATTAATAAGATTCTGTAAAAATAAAAAACTTCTCTGCTCCTTGGCACAACTGAGAATCTGTGACTCAGCTGCAAACAACTCATGACAAAAAGTCAGGGGCTGTTTGGCTGAACTGCAGGCTGTGTTTACACAGAGCAGACAGGAGACAACGATGGAGCCAAAGAAAAAATGCAAGTAGTAAATATCTATAGTATGTGGAGCCATCAGGTTTTTTCCCCCAGTATTTGTTAACACTTTGGGGTACCTGCTGTACATGTTGACTCCAGGCTTTTGTCATTTCTGTAAAACCAATAATCAAAGAAATTCAACTTTTACTTTATCTTTTGTCTGATTTGTGGCATTATAACTTTGTTAAACTGCGCAGGAGATATTTCTAAGTTCTCTCTCTTTAGTCATGCTTCCATCGAGGTACAGAACTTCATATTTCAGTAAAAAAAAAGGGATCCAACAGGAAGTAGAAATGTGGCAGGAGCAAATAAAGAGCTGCCAGACACAGCTAGCTGGAACTTAATACATGTTACATTTATATATAGATATGACAGTGGTGTATATTTTGGCTAACTTGTATTTCCCAAATTGAAAAATAAGTAAATAAATCACACTGCTCCCGTAGGACACTTTTGAATAATAAAGTTTGAAGCCTTACTTAGGACGTCATCAATGTTGCCTGTATCCAGACTGGTGATTTCTGGTTTTCCAGGAGTAGAGAGACCCATCACCTGCAGAAACATTAGCAAACAAAACATACGTACACTGGTTAGGACAGCAGCGTACAGGTGTGTTGGGATGAGTCTGAAGATGCTTTACAGTGTACCGTTAACTAAAACAGAGCCACAGAGTAAACAACAAACCACTGCACTCTGGCCTCAGAACACAAACGCACAAAGATGTTGCTTTGATATAGAATGCAGTGAAAACCAACAGCTTCGTGTGTTTCTATGGAGAGCCGCTGAGCAGCTAGGATGTTCTTTTAACCAACACCTTCTCTCCAACTCCCTGACTGAGTCCCAGTGCAGCTGAGAGGTGTAAACTCTCCACTGTTTCCTGGTCCGACTCTTCTCCTGCTGTTCCCGGTACTGCGCTAAATATACCGTAAACAATGCCACCTTTGGTCCGTTGTTGGCTGCAGAGTTACAGTGTCTGTGGAACCTGTGCAACCTGGTGGTTTCCAGGAACATGTTTTTTTTGCGTGCATGCAAATGAAGAGTTTCACACAGTTTGACATTCATATCGAAATGATTAGGGGCCGCCAGGTTTCTCAGGGTCGATACCGAACATTAGTAATCAAGGAGGTGACAACTGATATTTGGAACCGATGTATGTCTGCAGTTAAAATTTAAATCCTGGTGTCAAAATTATGAGACACACAAACTCCAAAACAAACCTGAATAACATTCATTATTAGGAATTGGTTAAAAATGCTGAATATAACATTGAATATTTAGCTCAATTGATAATTGGCTGATGGTTGCAACCTTTCAGAAGCTGTCTCTATGTACTGCCCAGTTAGCAAATGTGATATTGATAAACCACTGACAAACCATTACAGTCATGGTACAGATGTCCGTGAAATATTGGACCAAATGAGAAGATCTACTGTTGGCCTGACCAGCTGTCAGATTTGATATTCAGCAACTTTTATTTTTGCCTTCGTATTCCCTGTTTGATCCAGAACCTTCAGAAAATGTCTTTTTAGATTAAATGTACCTCATTTTCTTAATAAAAGCATCCAAACACTCGGCATTTTCAACTGTGGCTGTTCAACAATGTGAAAAAACACTGACCAGAAGAGCAGCCACGATTAATTGATTAGCTGTCACTATTAATTTCATTGGTAACTATTGATACTGATGGTCGATTGATAGTTTGACTTGAATGAGTAAAGAAAAAAGCCAAACAGCTTCCTAAATGTAAATATTTTCTGGTTTCTTTCCTCCTCTGTGACAATAAACTGATTATCTTTGAGTTGCAGACAAAACAAAACATTTGTCCTTTTGTACTTTGGGAAACGCTGATCAACGGTTCTCACCATTTTCCCGACATTTTATAGACTAAACAACCAATTGACTAATTTAGAAAATAATCAACAGATTCCTCTACAATGGAAACAGTCATTAGTTTTAGCACTACTGAGCAGCGCTGCAACATCCACGTCTTCTGGTGTGTTGAAGCCACAAATCTCCAAACTATAGAAGCTGTCATTTGTGAATAAATCAGCAGAGATAATTATGAGCTCCACTTCTTCACCAGCTCATAGTCTGAGCCTCCCTCAGAATTCGATTTGACTGTTTAGAGTATAAATGCGATTTGTATTATTCAAATAATGTGGCCATTTCACACAGTGACGCTGCACATTTTTTAAAATAAACTTCCTCTTTTAGTCACATCTTATCTGTGAGCTGCAACTACAAGGTTTCTGAAGCTTCATAGCAAAGATAACAGCATTCCAGTGAAATCCAAGTCTCACCTTGGGCGGAGCGCCAAAGAGTTTTCTGAGATATAATTATTAAACATCACATGACTGACGTCTGACTATAAATCCGCCATCATTTTGTGGTAAATGTCAAAACATTAAAAAAACAAAGTATACAGTGAAAAAGCACATTACAGTTTGTCTTCATCATTAAATGTCACTGACATAACATTAGCTGTTGCCTGGGGAACTTTATTTTGTGAGGAAAATAAAATCCTGCAGACATCCATTTTTCTCTCCTGCACCTTCCTCGCTGGACCGCTGAAACAAGAATGTGGCTGTAATTATGATGTACAAACTGGGGATTTCAGAATCTCAGCTTTGAATACAACGCTGCATAAAAGAATCCTGTATGAAAGAGGCTGGTATGGAGAAAATTTAAGGGCTAAAATGACATTCACTGGAGAGTGAAATGTGCGAGAGAACACCAGCGTTGGAGAGGACTACAAACCAAAAACAGAAAAATAAAAAAGGTAATTGTAGCCTGAATGACGCCTGTGAAAAGAGGACATTCTAGAAGACTGTATGATAAAGCGTATTTCATCAGGGCTGTATTTTTCTGCACCTACTGCCACAGCCACTGTAGTCCACACTTCCATAATGTTACAAAGCTTTAAAAATACTGCCGGCGACACTTGTTTATCTGCTGTGATATGTGCTGAGTTGAGTTCCTCTTCCAACAGGATACAGCGGTCATCCTCCTTGAGGCTGCGACTGTCACAGAGTCAATATGAGTTGCAAAGAAGACTGCAAACTTTTTCAACAGTGACACAGTCAGAGCTGAACTCCTGCTCGCACACAACCCGGTGGTTTTATCTGTCGCTGTGCTTTCCGTACTTTAGTTTGAATATTTTTATGTAAATTTAGGGCTGCAGCTACCTATTGTTTTGACGATTAATAAAAGCGATAATTAAGTCTTGATTAAATGATTCATACTCTAGCTGATGAAATGCCAAAACAGTTTTTTTTTTTTTAAATCCAAGGTGACAAAATTGAATTGCTTTTGTCCAAACAAAAGTCCAAAACCAAAAATTTAATTTACAAGGATTTATAATAATAAAATAAAATTTAAAAAAATGACACAAATTTGAAAAGATAGGTTAGTTCAGAATGACGTTAATGTTTAACTTATTAACAAAAAAATTCAGTACTGTTTTTCATCTACTGACTCATCATTTAATAGTCAAACAGATGCAGCAGAACTGCAACTGCGACTTATTTTCATTGCGGATTATTTTCTTGATCAATTGATGAGTTGTTTAGTCGGTGAAAAGTCAGAAAATGGTGAAAAGCCAGCGTTTCCATAAGCCCAACATGCCATCCTTAGATGCAGGCCTGAGCAATAAAGCAACACTGATATTTCAACAGCACTAAGAACATTGTTTGACAGTATGTTCGATAGTTTGACTCAAATGCATCAGATGCAAACCAGCATGAAATCACTGAATAAAAACAGTCCAGTTGCATGAACAAACTGAAAGCGTGCTCCCTGCCTGGCTCATAATGTCTATCAAATCCCTTGATAATGAAGCCCCCAATGGGCCTCTTGTCACCTCCATTCACACCCGCAGACCTCCCTGGTGGAGGCTGTGACCAGCATCGGACCGGCGGTTGCACTTGCTCCTTGCTACCTTTGTACCTTCAGAAACAGCCTAAAGTGGATAAACTCTAAGCAAGCTGGTTAAATTCAAGTTAACTTGTTTTTTCTTTTGGTCTTCATTAAAAATAGGTCATTAAAATTATCAGTAATTATCAATATCAACTGAAATTAAACATTTCATCATTTTCTGGAGAAAGGAAACCAGGAAATGTTCACATTTGAAAAGCTGAAACAAGACAATTTTGACCTTTTTTCTTAAAAAGTTGGTAACTAATTGATTAATTATTGCAGAGCTAATAAGTATATATGTTCTTGAACTACAATGTGACCTGTGCTGATAAGGACATTAACATTAATACTGATGCAAACGCAGAGACACGTGTGGATAAGCTTTGTTTGACTGATCTTTAGAGCAAAATACGTTCTCAATGTATATTTGATAGTTTATTCCAAAACAATCACATTCAATATAATCACAAAGTAATCAAGACAAGATCGCAAGAACTACATCTCTCCCTTTGTCCAACCTCATAATAATAATATTATATTGCAGTTGGGACAGCAACTAACAAATAGTTTAATTATCAATTAATCTGATAATTGTTTCCTCAATTTGGATTTCTTATCCGACCTGTCAAATTTCACAAAATGGTGAAACATGTCAATCAGTGTTTCCAAAATCCCAAGATGACAAATGTCTTGTCCACAATCCAAAGATATCCCATTTACTGTCATTGAGGGTTAAATGAAACACATTTTAAAAGCTGCAATCAAAGAATTTTGACCTATTACTTCATGAAAATTTCTCTAACTGATAATCAAAATAGTTAGCAATTAATTTAATGGCTGACAAGGCGAGTAATTATTTCATCTCTAGGTGTCATGTCTAGAGTTCCCCATTCTCCTTGAAAGTTCACCTGTCTCTCAACACTGAGGACAGAACACAGTCACAGTGCTTTCAGAGCACCCACACAATGGCACAGCTGCAGAATAGTATGCGGAACTGCATGTGCTGTGGTTTCAGACCTGAGAAAACTCTGCTCTACTGCTCACACAGAAGTTTTAAGTTTTCATTCTAGGCCAAAATGCCAATCTGTCTAGTTCCGGGTTGTCAGCCAATGAGAATGAGCCACAACAGAGGAATTCACCAACCGGCGAGCATCACTCAGGGAGACACACAGACACACGAAGAGTACCACTACAAACTTTGTGCATCCACGCACCAACAAATAAAAAGCAGATTTAATACAGAAGACCAAACCAGTAAATTACCTGTAACTAGCCGTGCTCGAAGTTAGCATTTCACTCACAGCTGTCACTACGTGTTAGCTTCCAATGCTAGCCTGGATGCTGTAACCCTCCTCAAACTAAAGTTATCAGTAACTTTGGCTCTATCTTTTAAAGTTTGACACATTCTACGTGTTGCGGAACAAATATATATTTTTTACAAGATGGATTATGGCCAGTTGCACAGCTAACAACACTACCGGCTGCACTGCAGCTGGATAATTTGATTAGTTCTGGGAGTTTCTGGGAGTGAAGCAAAGTGGAAAGGCCTCTTGAATGAACCTGCCGAGTGTCTGCAGCACCAGCAAACAGTGAGCTGGTTCGCTTTAGCCGCTTTTAAAGCCACGTCTCAGGGCAGCAGAGGTTAGCTAGCTGCTAACTAACCAGCGGCAGTTACTTAAGCTAACATTAGCCTGCACTGGTGGCTAAAAGCAGCTAGCGGTTAATGGCTGAGACGCAGGAGCTTACCAGCAGTATAACCGTCACGAAGCGGGTGTCGAGAGACGGAGGTGCCGCTAACAGTTTCATTGTACGGTGTAGTTTTTGGAGGAGGTGCTGCTCAGTCTTCAGTCTGTCTCGACGCCGCCGCTTCTTCTCACTGCAGCAGGAAACCGACGGCGAACCGATCTCACGGTGACCACGGAAACCAGAGCGACACTTCCTGGTAGCCGCCGGGCTTCAAGGGGAATGTAGTTTTCAGCACCATCCGGCGGGCGGCTTTAACTCCGTGGAGAACTCCAAACATGGCGGTCTGTCGCGTCGCAGCAGTGACGGGAATTGTAGTGTTTTGTGGCGCAGACGTTCAACGGGACGCCTGGGAAGAAAAGTTTCCAAAGATTTTCAACTGAGCGGAAAAGAAACGGTAAATATAACGGAACGGAGAGAGAGTTTTATCTAAACGCAGTCACACTGATGCTTTACTCAGCAGATCCAGTGTCACATATTTGCTCTGTACGATTAAGAACAGGCGATTTCTCTGAAAACGACGAAGTTGCATCATTATGGTTCACTTTCTGCAATCGACCTGGTTTTTTTTAGCATCCAGCTGTGCAGTACTGAACAAAAACAGACTTTGCTGCACAAAAGCTGTTCAGTAAAAGTAGAATGAATCGAAATACTATTCAAATCGCCATAACGAAATGTGTGACAGCAAACCGTTTAAATGAGGCTTTGTGGTGCTGTAGAGATGCTGCAAATCATAATCTCCACACATAAAAAAAGAGGCTTGTTTGGTTCAGACTGCAGCAAAAATCACATTGTCATATTCATTTGTGTTTCAGTGGAAAAGAAACGCAAAAAATACCAGCAAAATCGTCACTCCTACAGCAATATCTGAACAAATATTCACTCTCTCTATATATTTTTTTTTGCATATAGTTCAGCACTAACTAAAACCTTTAGCTACTCTGATGCACAATATCTTCCCTAAACCCACACAATTGTGTATATTTAATTGCTGGTTAATAAAACAGCAGCTCCACAACTGCAAACGTTAACAAAGGGTTGTTGCACCTCTTCAGATTACATGATCAAATCCAAATTACAATCTGAAACAATGCAAAGGTTGCAGTTTAGGATTCATGTCCTGCAGTGCATCTGAGCCAGCGTTCAAACTGTTTCGCAAACGGTGTTCTAAAGTCATGTTGTCCTCCGTGTGTGACAGTCACACTTTTGATCATCAATCATGTGGCAAAGCTCCATCACATGTTTTAAATCTACCACACAGTCACTATTGAACTGAAACTTGACTTGGAAAAAGAATATTTAACAAATTAAATTTTAATGCTGGTCGGAAAAATCTAATTTAGATATGTTCCCCAAAGCATTTGGCTCTAATCACAATGAAATGGAACGCTTCACCCATAAAGTTCCATAACACAATACCAAAAATAAATAATAATCAAATCTGCTTCCTGTATTTTTGACAAAAAAACACAGAAAATTCCATCCATGGGTGCTTTGAGAGCTGCTGTGATAAATGTTTGTCATTATGGTAAGCATCCGTATGCACAATAATGTCACTGACTGCTGCAAATATCCTGCTGTGAGGCTTTGAAATGAAAAAAATCTCCATAATACACACTTGACAGAGAAATATTTAGACTCTAGTGACACATCAGACTTTAACCAACAGTAAAATAATATATACATGTTTAAGATTCAACGATGTCATATTATTTTAAAGGGCTTGATGACATAATTGAATAGATCATTAAAAAAAAAAAAAAACTCTCACTACTGCTCTCTACTCTCACTTTTACAGCCTTGGAAAAGCTTTTTAAAAAAAACCAAAAAAACCCCCAAATTCTTTAAATTGGACCCTCTTAATTGCACCAATATTAAGTTACTGCAGAGTAAACTGAAATGTGACACACTGTGTTCTTTCATTTTGTGTTTCGTCCACACTAACAACACAGAGAGTGCATGCAGCTCAACCAAACGGTGTGCTATGGAATTATTCATATTTCTGTGATTTGCAGCTAGAGTCATATTTAAACTCATACATTTTATTCAATTCTAATATAGGTAACCGACTTCAGGTAGTCCAGGATCAACTATATCATGTAGATGTACTTTCGACACATGACAGGATGATTTGCTTTCGTAAAACAAACAAAAAAATAGTTGAACAACTTTAGATGCTTTGATGCACAATTCTGCAAAATCACTGCAACACTGTCTCCCTAAACCCACAAAACACCCAGAAATCTGTAGATTTTAACCTCTTCACTGCATCAATTTCCAGTTATTCCAGAATAAAATGGATATAAAGTGTGAGACACCGTATGGTCATCCTGCTTTCTTTCTGTGTTTAGTCCACATTAACATCCCAGTCGGTGCAGGCAGCAAGTCCAAACTGTGTGCTTTGGAATTAGTCTATTTGATGATCATTCACAGCTATAATTATGTGTAAAATTGTGCCAACAGGAAATACTTGTTTTCATGAATCTTATTTAGTAGTAATTTGGGTGACTGACCCTTTAATTAGTCCAAGATCACTATATCTTTTTAGCAAGAAAATTAAAACAGCCAGGGTATTTTTTTTATTGTTCTTGCTTTTGTAAAACAAACCAAACCAATTTAGATTCATTAAATATTCAGGGCTACAGCCTCAGACGGAATTTGTTAAGTAAAACCTTTCGGCAATCTGATGCACTACTCTCCAAAATCCCTTCAAATATTCTCCATAAACCTACAATTAAATATTTGTATTTGACTGTTGGTTATTCAAGCAGCAGCTCCCCAACTCCAAACTTTAACAAAAAGATCTTTGCACCTCTTGAGAAGCGTCAAATTGAAGGAATAAAGCAGCACTCTGAGACGTCCTCCCTCTGTCTGTACAGTAGCTGTGTTATGCTGGCAGTTATTTGTGTGAACAGGTGGGCAGGTCTCAGTGTGTGAGTGAGCCTCTTTCTCTGCCCTGGCAGGAGCCGGGATCAGGGCAGGTAGGGGACCTGGACGTGCAGCCGCCCCCATCGAGGATGCACTGAACTGGGAAACATCTGCTGAAGTGTCCCCCCTCAACGCAGATATGGTAAGAATCCAATAATGCACAGAGAGCAGCTGCTCAGGTTTAATTTGATGCTTAAATCCCAGATATTCTGTAGTTATTGGGTGTAGATGTTAGTGTCTCCACCCCGAACCCCCGGTTTGTAATTCTCTCTCAGGAGTCAAGACCGTTGAGACATGTGTGTAACGAAGCTAATTGTGTGTGCTGCAACAACCTAATTGTTAAGGAGATTAAGGTGGAATGTTGAATTGAATCCCAGCATTAATATTTTATGGGCTAAAGCTGTCCATAGGGGGTTCACAGTGTGTGAGCAACTCACAGATGGAGTCAGGAAGATTTCTCTCTGTCTGAATATCAGTGGTGAAGAGAGAGCAGCAGAATGTCCTCTTTTAGTCAGCAGTGCAGGTATGGATACATAACGATGTGAATTATGAAAAATCCTCAGTGTCTGTATCGTACGCTCCATCAGTCTTTAAACGGGAACAAAGTTTTCTTGTAAAATTCATTTATTTTTAATTTAATTCTGCAAACTTAGAAAAAGAACAGATAGAATAGAATAGAATAGAATAGAATAGAATAGAATGGAATAGAACTTTATTGATCCCTTTGGTGCAAACCTCAGGGAAACTGTTGATGATGACTAATGTAGTATAATACTGCACATCAGGGATACAGATTACAACACAAGTGAGGACACTGCAGCAGTACTGTGCAGCATCACTTAATGTAATTGTGATACTTTAAAGTAGAACCCTGTGTATTTGCTGGTATGTAAAGTTAAAAATAAAGATTTACTGTATTAAAAAATACAGGCCCTACAATAGAAACTCTGGGCAACAAAAGTTGGAGCACCTTTCATGACTAAGATTCAAATGTTTTATTTTTTCATGACTTTGTAT